GCACACACGTGACAAAGACTGACATTAGTGGTGTAATTGAATAGAGAGTTCATCGACCTCGTAAGGTCCCTGGATGTGTCCGCTTTAGTGTCATTCGCGCTTGATTGTCGAACAAATCCGGTGCAAGTCGTAAAATGTCACTCTCTTTTCGGTCCAAGTCCACGTGGTTTCATTGTATTGGTCGAAAACGAAGCAACTCATTTATTGTGTACGCACCTGTTACTGGCTAACTGGTGTATGTCAAAGCAATTTTGAAATGCGTTAGAGGGTTTTCGTGCATTTTATACACATTTGTTCCCATGAGTTGGTAGAATAATAATTCGCTATATTATAATTACATGTTAGCTAAACTAACATTCAAACTAGAACGGCATGTTAATTTTCACCTTCGCATGTGTTCATGTGTAAATGACTTAAATACGTAACAGTAATTTCTTTCTGATTAACTTATCTTGTGTTTCCCCCTATTGACGCCACCTAAAACGAGTCCAGTTATTTTATTTATTTATTTTAATTTATTTACACATTTAATGATAACCTATGTACATCAAAGAAAAATGTGAATAATTACATAAAACTGATCTACACGTAAATACACAGGTATTATAAGACAAACTATCTATCAACATTCCCCTTAATGAAAATAACTAAAAGACGCTTAAACATTGGTAAACTGGTACATTGCTTAATATTGTCAGGTAGAGTGTTTCCCGTTCTTACACCACGCATACTAAACGTTTTGTGTCCACTCCCTGAACGAAATTTGGGTACAAGCAGATCCTGATGTGCAGCACCACGAGTTTGATATTGATGTACTTGATTCATCTGAGTAAATTTGTTGCATAGATACAGTGGAGCAGTACTATTGAGACATTTGAAAACAATGATAGCAGTGAAATAATAAATACGCTGTCTAACTGAGAGAACATTCATTGAACTAAACAGAGAGTTAGTTGGTGTATCAAAAAGAACATTTAAAATAATCCATAGCTGACTGTATTAATCCAAAGTACAATACTTTACGTAACTGAAGTTGAAAAGAATCGTAACTGTCTCAAGCTCAGAACTCGATAAATTTTAAATACTAGTATCCATATTGCAAACTCTCTCCCATCCTTGTTACATAAACCAACAACGATACGATAAAACATATGAAACAGTTAGTAATTCAGCTACTACCTAGGCATTATATACGGATAATCTGAGAAATCTTACTGGGGGGGGGGGGGGTCAGGACTGAATAAAACTTGACAATTTCCCAGTACGGATGAAAGATATATGAATTGCCATAGCATTGTTTAGTCTGCTTATTTTTTCACCATTTGATAATATTACCTGTTATTAAAAACAAGGTCGCTTCATTTTCTCCAACATTGACAGGTTGAACTCGACCACCTAAATCTACATATGATGAACACGCCAGTGCATTGTCACTAATTACCCGGATGTCAGCGGCTCGGGTACGAGGGTTCAATGACCGCCAGGCCCTGAGCATTTAAAATATCTATATAGTTTTTAATGAAGGGGGCATTGTGCATTTAATCCTTTGAGCCAAATGCTTCCACCTTTCGCAAAATAAATCAACGTAATCAGGAATGTTGGCACTTCACCGTGACGCAACTACAAACATGAGGTGCGTACGAATAACAGTGTTGTTGTCCATGGTGGTTATTTATAAGCCACGTTCGAAAAGCTTAGGAGATACGTGTTAGAGCAACAGCAGATTAATTTGTTCAGTCGACGTCTTTAAACGTGACGACAATGTCGACGGTGTTCGAGCATTGTGTTATGTAAATGAAGTATGTAGATTTCGACCAGCTTATTATTCTCCGACACGCTGACACTTCACTGGAAGTCAAAACTGAACACGACCAAATTCCGATTTGGGTTAGTTTTTAGCCCCCCCCCCCGAAAATAAGAATACAATTTGAGTTTAACTATGTGAGTCCATCAAATAGACCTGTATAGAAGGGGGCAAGGGTGGATAGCTGGTACAGGTTACAGGAAATAAAAAAGACATTTTACATTTTTACAGGAATAAAATGAACGTTTCATTCACAGTAAAAAAATAATTTTTACACTTCACAGATAAAGCAAATTCCAAATAACATTTTTATAATACATTTGATATTTTGTGTCTAAAAATACAAATTTATTTATTTAATTTACATTATTACGAAAATAAACACAATTTTACATGTATCTAGTTTTCCCGAGGTAGGTCTCGGACGTCCTCGGCATCAGATGATATGCAAGTTACTAGTACTTCTGTGATTTTTTTTTTGTGTAGCGTAGAACGTTAAATGTGATTGATTCAACAAATTATTTCGATGTTATTGCTGGAATTCAGCTGATATGAATATGAGACTAACTATTGGTATCCAAACATTAGGAAAATTTCGTAAACTGATCTCGAACTTGTAGTACAGTATATGGTTACGGGACAGACAGGGAAAAATGGCATATGTTGCTTGCTCAGCAGTATGCGAACATTTTCATTTTGCTTGATTTTCCACCAATCCATAGCTTTAAGGTAGCGAGAAGGGACATTTTCATTTTCATCCTAGTTTTTTTCAAAAGATCAAAATTTCGGAAAGACGCTGCTCAAACTAGTGTTTTAAACGCTAACACGAATATAACTACAACTGCCGTTTCGTGGATATTTGCATAATGTTTATCTGTTGTTGACGATTCTAACATAACGGGCGTTAAGCTTCCTGTCGCAAACACTGCGTGTTTATCTAACGTTCACTGTCAACGTTATTGTCAGTCTAGCCTTAGTCGGGAAAACATGGTCATAACTTTGCGCAACTTTCTTTTAAATTGTTTTATTTTTTCCAAGCCAATATCCTATTTTACTAACATAATTTTAATCATACAAATGTAAGTTCTTTAGTTCGTTCGTCCATGGACATACTAACATGTTTTGTCCAATAACTACATGGCCTCTGCAAGGAACTGCTTCGGCCCATAGTCTCGGACTGTTATATAACATACCATACTATATAACTATAGTCTGTTTAGAATAACGAAAATAATAAATAACGTCGTTTGGAATCTTTCCTTTTGTGCTTCGTGTCGGAACAAAGCGGGACAAAGAATGCAAGGGAATTGCTGCGGTCACCCGTATAAAGCCGATTTGATGCTAGCGTAAGAGCATTCCGGGTGCCGTTTTTCTTAATTACTTCAAGGACAATGTCAATCATTATAATACCACGAACAAACAAGTCATTCACTGCTTTGTCAACTAGCTACAAACATGGAGCTCTGCGCTGCAACCCAACACCGTTCCGTACACATGCAGTAGTGGGAGATGTTTTCATAGATATTATATTATTCTAGCGTTCATAATAAAGAAAATAGCAAAATATAAAATGAAGCGGAGCATTATGGGTATTCTCTAGTTAACTTGGTTCAGTATGTGGTTGGGGTGCAGCATAGAGCTGTACCAAGTTTACTTGGCAGTGAATGACTGGTTCGTGTATTCATAGTAATAATTATAATGCTGGACATTGACGGTTAACAAAATGGCCTGAAGCTGGTGCTACCACACTTACGTGATCCAACACCGGGGCTGACAGATTCCCAGAGAACCCATGAGTGAAATAATATTGAAGTAATAAGACCCACTTTGACTATTTAAACAAATAATGGTAGTTATTGGCGAGACATCATAAACAATGTGGTACATGAAAGAAAATGATCAATCTTCAAGTTTGAGACTAAGAATATAATGTGTTTGCAAATGAGTAAATATCCTGCTCTACCTGTAGCACCTGTTGTATATCAATCTGAGCAGTTAATTCATGAAGGGATCGCTTACATAGAACAAATTACTAGTATGTTGAAACAAATGGAGATCTCAACTGCCTAGGTAAAATCACAGTCACTCTAGTGATAGAGGGACTGTGGTGAAATACTAATTTATTTATTTATTTATTTATTTAAGATCCTGCTTCCTGACTTCAAAGCTTTTACTTATGAGCTGTGCTACTGGTATAATAATGTTTTCATTCTGTAACAATTCCATGATTTTTTTTCCTCTGCAGGTTTATTTTCAAATGCTGGGATCATATCCTTAGCTTTATTGTACAGTTTGGTAAGCAACTCATTATATTTGTTGCATTCCACCAGAAAGTGCATTTCATCTTCAATTAGACCTTTGTTACACATGTCACAAATCCTGTTATTTAAGGGGATTTTTTTATGACGACCCATTTCAATTTTGAGACTATGGTCAATAAGACGAAATCGGGTAAGCATACTACGCAGTTCAAAATTGTTTAGCTTGACTAAATATGGCTCAACGTTTAATTAACTTGAATGTTGGGATAAGATGTTCTCTTTAATAACCTTGACTTATTAGATGGACGTCTATGACGTCATCATATCCACTGGAATCTCTGGCATATCGAGCAAGCTGGAAAATGTATACACCATATGCAGGAGAAAGAAGGAAATGACTACAAAAATGAGCGAATTGATATGAAGCAGAAGCATTTTTTCTGTGGTTTTCACGTGAAGGTGGGTATATCATAGAATGTTAACTGGCAATAAAAAGTAGAAATCATGCATACAGCAGTCACTAGCCAGTTGCACCATAGTTTACAGCTAAGGCAACATCGATGTGTATGCGTTCCACACATTTCCATTCAATGTTGGCTGCACATAAATGACACTGATTGTATTGTGTTGGGCAAATCACACTGGCAGTCCCTCGTGATAGAGGGACTCGGTCAAATCAAGGTTGGACACTACACTGAACTATTGTCAGTTTCTCAGTCGAAATGTCAGCATTGATAGATCTGTTCCACTTGCGTACATGCTATCCTCACGTTCAGATCAACGTGAAGTTTTTCAGATGGCCTGGTAAGCTCTACATGATCATCTCCCTCCAATATAGCATCATACAGTTATACCTTAGTCACTAAGGATACTACCGTTCTTGGTGTTTACAACACTAGGCACATTCTATCACTCTATGCCCAAGGTGGTAGACTTTTTTACCATGCTGCAATATAGGTAATTGGTAATAGGTATTTGAACACTCTAGTATAATTATTATGCTCCTCTAACAGCCAAATCATTAACTATATTTATTTATTTTTTAGTCAAAGATCAAATGAGAATAACCATAATAAGTTTGTATGTACATGTATATAAATATCCCCATCACATTATTACATAGTGGTTATTTTTTTTCTATTGACACCCTCTTCATCTATATTTTCATACATATTTAGTAATATAAATATAATTCTTGTCAATAATTAATTTGTATGATTGTAATGGACCGGAGGAGATTATACAATTAATAAAATAATATTAATTAATATAGGTAAGAATGCCCATCCTCGTCAAGTATGTGGTCAACTCCATGATTGGAGTCTCTTCAGTAGGCGTCCACTATCAGCAAAATTCTTAGTCACTTGCCATTTATAAGTCACTGTTTCTGGTTGCCTTGGCTTCAGGCAGGAGATGCATAAAGTTACTGATACCTTAGCAGCGTTTCATGCTGGCTTGATCACTGTTCGGACTAACCACCTCCTTAGGGATAATAACGTCTATTTTCATCCCACAGTTGAATATGTCTCCCAGTACAAGAAGGGTGCAGCACCTTGTGCCCAGTGCGCATGCTATGGTATTTCCTGAAGTGAACACTGGCATTCAGGTGTACTCGATCAACTTACTGCCACGTCAAGTAGGTTACAGCAGTCCCCAGAGAGTTGTGCCACACTTTCCAGATAATGTCTAGAGACTATCAACTTCGCATACTCAGGCAGATAACACACACAGGGTGATACAAGAAGATCTGAGAGCTCTAGCTAATTACTCATTAGTTCCAAAACCTCTATGCTGACGCTGTCCTACTGGACATTTTGTTGCAGAGTTGGGCTTCATGATTTACATGACACTTACTTTTTAACTTTGGGGGCTTAACTCTACTGCATTGTAAATGTAAGAGGGCCATTTACTTTGATTTGCAATGAGGCATCATTGCTCAAGTTATGTCTGTTCACTTCAAGATCACTCAATATAACCCAGTTTGGTACTCTTTCATGATTGTGTTTAAAATAATTGCATTGAATACACAGTTTTTTTTAATTGGGACTGGGCTTGAACGACTGAGATGCAACTTCACTTCTAAGATTCAAACCTACCGGTACTTTTTCTAACCAAGACAAATATCTAACTAAAATAAATAGTGTAAGTAATTTGAGGGACTGATAAGTAGTGGGGCTAGCTGGAGCTACCCCATTAAATTTCTTCCTGTTGATCGAACTGTAAACATGCGTATCTCGTGTATATTGTTATGTCAATTGCACTTTATTATTATTTACTTTATTAAAATCCATCACAGAATACAATCAT